TCTCTCTCTCTCTCTCTCTCTCTCTCTCTCTCTCTCTCTCTCTCTCTCTTTCTTTCTTTTAATCCGAGCTGCAGGTACAACCCCAACCCCCCCATAACCCCCCTTATACCCAAACGTTTCTCAGCGGATTTGGGCTGTACTCAGCAAGCGCAGTACAGCCCCCAACTCAGATTCGAAAAAAAATCAGTTGATGGTTGTTTTCTGACTGGTCGGCAGACGGCCGACGGGTCGGCCCTACTGGTCGGCTGCAATACGGTCGGCGGTCGGGGTCGGTGGTTAGCAGGGGTGCAACCTTGGCCTGCGTTACCATCCGAATCACCTGGGATCCCCATGCGGTCCGTACGGGCGAGGGCTAGGGAAGGTCATGTAGGAAAAAAACAACAAAAAATCCGGGAAAAAAACTATGTTGTGCAGAAAAATAAATTGTCCTTCCTTGGGGCGGGGGGGGGGGGGGGGGGGGGAATAGGCAGACTTCGGTGAGAGTGCGTAATACTCAGTGTATGATAAGTTGTCCTTCCTGTGAATGATTCCTATCTTACAGAGACCTCTTTTGTTGGCTGGTATTAAATGCAGGTGAGCATGGAGAGCAACGGCAAGGGTGTTACAATTGAGGGCCTCCCAACGCCCTACCCGACTGGCCAGATCGACTTTGGTGAGCCAGGAACGAATGGTCAGCACAGCTTTTACCAGCTCATCCACCAGGTTTGTGTCACAACCATCAATTATTAATTTACTATGTTACTGTCAATTATGATGTGAGCTGAAGTGGAAGGTTGCCGTTTAGGTTTTTCTTTGCTGAATAGAATTCTTGGTGATTCCTGTCGTGAAATATCCCCTTAGGACTCCAAAAGGGACAGGGCGGATTGGCTTTTTTTTTGGGGGGGGGGGGGGGGGGAGTTTGGGGATGGAGGAGGGGGAGGGGGGAGATGGGGACACTTCTTCCAGTGTTACGGCCCCACCTACGTCCGCTGTCAGAGCCGGCCGGAAGCCTTGATCTGGTCGGAGAAGGCTCTGATGAGTAGTCCAGAATTCTGACCTCCACTCCTGTGCGTCTCATGCAGGGCCGTGTCATTCCCTGCGACTTCATTGGTATTATCAAGAGTCAGCACTCTGTGTACCTGAAAGGTTTGCTTTGCTATTGCCTAGCCTGATATGCATTTCTTTTTCTCCGTCTTTGCCGAGGTCGTCATTGAATCTGAGGGGCCTGAGTGTCTCATGTCGAGGCAGATGAGGTGTTAAATATTCAGGTGAACCTATGGTCTCGCCTGTCTTTCTTTGAGGGTTTGGTCATTTTTGACATTTCAGAGTTTTTTTTCTGTGTACTACTTTCTTCACCCGAATAGAACGCCCGGTCATTATAGCCGTATTTGGGGCGAAGTTCAGTCCAAATGCAGCCATAATGATCGGGCGTTCTATTATGGTGAAGACGGTAGCTGTCCTCATGTTTGACAGGCCATGCCTGATTATTCTAGGAGGTTGTAACAGGCAGTGTTTCTTGAGGAGAGTATAACAGTCTTCTATCTGACGGCTCGCAGTGGTTTCAACGTCACCTTGTTTTCAAAAACTGGATGTATGGACGCTGCATGCCTGATCTTCTTCGCCTCTAGGAGACGGTGTGCCATGCTTATGAGTGGAGACGTTGCACTCTCCAAACAGCTACTGTCCCCTTTTCTAAGGCAAACGTGGCCAAGGTAACGAATCTGGTTTGGTCGCCCATGTGATGTATGGCCGTCATCTTGCACGGTTTGGTGGGCACTTCAGTAAACTGGACGGGTGAGCGGGCAACTGTTGCAGTGGTACTTTTGACCCAATATTTAGAAGTCTACGTCTAGTCTAACAAGTTTTTAATATCCTTGGGCAGTTCTGCAGAGAAGTTTTTTTTTTTTTTTTCTTGAATCACAGGGAGAAATGGACGAGGGCAGTCATTTGGGATATACATTGAATCCGGACGACACAGAGAAAATTGGCATGGTTTGCAAGGATGACACGCATATATCGAGAAATGGTCTACATTTTTAGGATAAATATATATATATAAAATCGAGGTGGTATGTTCTAGAAGCGAGGCTGGGTAATGCTCCCAGTACTTTTCCTTGAAGCATGTCGTACAAGGGACGCTGCAACCCCGTTTCCAGCAGATGCTGCTCCGCACCTATTGACCAAAGCCATCCGCAAATACTCCTCGATCCTGGTGGTGCTCTTATCATCCTGGGACCACCCCCCCMCCCCCCCCCACCCCCCCTGCAATCCCAACCCCAAGACAAGAAAAACAAAAAGAAGGTGGCCATGTTCTGATTTGATTTTGATGTTGTTGTAAAGCGTTGGCAGCCTGGCAGAGTTGCAGTGTTCAAAGTTCAAACCATCTTGGAGCCAACTCTTACAACAACTGCAACTCTGCCGGGCAAACACGTTACCTACGGTCGTTATTTCCCTTGTAGATTGCTCTTCTTCCCCTTGTAGATTGCTCTTCTTCGTCTTGTCTTGTCTTGAGTGGTATGCCCTGTGTATGCTGCTTGTATATGTATTTGGACTTGTGTTTGAATGCATGATTGATGATCGCCTCAACTCTTTACAACAACATCAAATCAGAACCGCCAGTTTCTGATTTGAACGTTGAGCTGGCATAAGGAAGTGGCTGTTGTGTTGGAACTCTGGCGGTTTGACTTTGTGGCTCTGAATGAAAGGGCCCGAAGGGGCAATAATCCTCCACAGTGTCATGACCAATTTGTGCATGCACAGGAGCCATGCCAATCATCTCTGTATTGTTGCAATTTTAACGGGGGTCCATGAAGGGCATCATGGGTACATGTTGGAAACTGGTCTGATTGTTTTTTGCATGCCTTCTTGCTGACGGTGTCGAGGGCGCTGAAAAAGTTGGGGCAATAATCCTCCACAGTGTCATGACCAATTTGTGCATGCACAGGAACCATGCCAATGTTCTCTGTATTGTTGCAATTTTAACGGGTGTCCATGAAGGGCGTCATGGGTACATGTTGGAAACTGCTCTGATTGTTTTTTGCATGCCTTCTTGCTGACGGTGTCGAGGGCGCTGAAAAGTTGAGGGATGTATAATATGCTTTTCTGAAGCTAGAAGTGACTACTAGGCTACTAGCGCCTTTTTAAAGTTTTTAATACTTTTATTGAATCCTCACGGGCTTGTTTTGGGGGGTCGATGCTTGTATGCTGCTGCAGGGGAGATGGTTAGCAACCATGATGAATTGATGTGCAATTTCTTTGCTCAGGCAGATGCTCTTGCGTATGGCAAGGTATGCTTTTTTTTTTTTTTTTTTTTTTTTTTTTTTTTNTTTTTTTTTTTTTTTTCTTCTTTAAACCACCAGTCCATCCGAGCCTTATTCCAAAGGTGGATTTGTGCTACGTGGGAAAAGAAATAACCAGGGCCACACGGTTTTGTTTTCTGGTTTTTGCTTTGGTGCTGCCACCAACCAACCAAACAGATCCAGTAGGCCAAGTACTGACAGCTGTGGAGTGTATATGGCCGCTTCGGAACCAAATCGCTGGGTTGTGAACCACAGTTTAAAATTCAAATAGATGACGAATTTCTGCGTTTCTCTTTTCAACATTTCATAAGGAAAAGGGACGGTATGCTTTGTTGCATTGTCTTTTCGCGAGTTCGTCTTCACCCTTGTTTTGCTGGTGCTAAAAGATGGTTGGCCGCATGTATGGGTGTGCTAGACTCTTGCACCTCGTATGTGTCTGTACTGTGTAGAATCCAAGTACAAATTGTACAATTCAATACACATGATGTGACAATGCGATGGTTGCTTTGCACCTGGTCTGTTTGCCAGGAAGATGCGTGCGGTGCAGCGGTAGTGACAAAATTGATTCTGTCCGGGTCTGTGATTTGTGCATGATGTGTGTTGAGTAGTGACAGACTTGCTTCTGTATGGATGGGACTGGAATTTGTGATTCATGTGTCTGTAGACCCTGTTATGCAGTTGGTTTTTAAGAGTGCAAATCGTAGTTTTCCAGTGCAAATCGTAGTTTTCCTTGCGTGAACTTACTTCACTACGTTGATAATTTGCCGGGACATTCCTTGGTATCGTTCGTTCGACGGGTTTTGGTCTCTCTTGACATGTTAATCGACCACTTTTTAGCTAACAGCATGGCACCATGTAGTGTAGAATCGACACCTCAGTTGGGTTTTAAGAGTGCAAATCGTAGTTTTCTCTCGCTCAACGGATCAAACGTATGCCGGGGATAACAGGCTTATGACTCCCAAGAGCTCATATCGACGGAGTCGTTTGGCACCTCGTCATCTCGTTGCGTGAATTTACTTCACTACTTTAATCATTTGCCGGGACATTCCTTAGCATCGTTCGTTCGACAGGTTTTGCGCTCTTGACCTGTGTTAATGGACCTTTTTCAGCTAACAGCATGGCAACATGTAATGTAGAATCAACCACTGTGTGCTGACCTAAGTGGGCGCCCATCGTGTTATGGATCTGAGCTCCGGGTATCTGATTGGATTGCTGTCTGGTGTTGGACTGTTGGCTGATGTTGGACGTGTTTCAGACGAAGGAACAACTTTTGTCCGAGGGTGTACCAGAGGCGCTGGTTTCACACAAGGTTGGTTCTGAGCAGTAGTTCTTGTTTCTGGGGTACCTCTCTGTGATCCAGCACTGTGTCGGTGTGTTTGTGCTTATTAGCCTTTTCGGAGTTTTCTTGTGGCGATTTTGTGTCCGTCATCGTTTTCTTAATTTCTCTTTTCTTAAGCCACCAGCACATTCGAGGTAAAACTCACGAGCCTCGAACCCCCCTGCGCGCCAAGCTTTGCCAAAACACCAGCGGGGCACTTTTTGTTTTTTTTTTGGCTGGCGCTACCGGCGGCCATTTTCATCTGGTAGCCGTGTCCATTTCAACTTTGTTGGATTGATCAGTCGTGATTCTCAAGTTGGCTAGGGCCATGTGCTGGTGGTTATAAAATAGGTTCTTGTGGTCCTGGCTCCGAATCCATTCCACGGCGCAACAATCCCCCACCCGGCAAGGCGAAATAGTGCATCATTTACACGCATGTCTCTTTCATCTTTCTTATGTTTGGCTTTCAAATTAAGCCTCTCACTTGCTCTCACTTGCATTTGAAGCTTCTCTCTTGCTTTTTTAGCTCTCTTTATACATGTGTCCCCGCTCTCTGCTGTTTGCTGTTGATTGCTCTATATGGCATGGAAATCAGCTTTTAAGTTTTCACATCCCTCCACTTTATTGAGGCCAATAAGATTAAGCTGACCCCTTCACGACCCTCGTCGGTATGGACTTGAGAAGTCGCTGGGAAAGGTGGTTGGTTGCTTGACCCAAGACTGATGCGTCCCTCCACGTTATTCGGGGTAATAAGCTTAAGCTGATGCTTGGCCCAAGATTGATGTGTAGCGTCAAGAAAATAGTGTGTTTTGGTGTGATTGGTTGGTTGGGCGGGAGTTAAAAGCCAAGGATGAGGGGGCCCTTTTGTGATCAGATTTGAGACTTACTAAATAGTATTAATTAATTTTTAGGTTGATAACCCCCTCCCCTGCCAGTGTATTTATTAGTTCTTTTTGGATCGTCAATTTGTTTTATGATGTATTCTCTGCAGACTTTTACTGGCAATCGCCCGTCGCTGAGCATTTTGCTTCCTACACTGACTCCGTACACTGTTGGCCAGGTAAGCTGCTGCAATTTCGGTTTGGAATCTTTGGATGTTCTTCATAAAGCGGAAAGACGGTTAACGGGGGCCCAAATATTCGCCGTTTTCATTGGCAGTTGCGGTGCGAATTTCATCAAAAATTTTAAAAACAAACGATATGAGACCATAGTGCAAACATCAAAAAAGAAAACAGGCCAAAAAGAACGAAAAACAAAACAAAAAAACACTACCACGTGTGGAGTGATTTCCAGATCACCATAATGTGCTCCTGCGTAGATTTCCAGATCACCCAAATGTGCTGTGCTCCTGTGTAGATTTCCAGATCACCAAAATGTGCTAGGCGTTTTGTCACTGGGATGAGCATCCAGCAAGTCCTGCCTGGGGTTGTCAGGATAAAGAGCTGGGTACACTGGCTGCCAACCCAGATGCCTGGGCGAATCAATTTTATTATAGATTTTGTTTTTTTTTCCTAATAGAATTTCATAGAATTTTGAGGGAAAAGAAAGTGGGGAAGGAAAAGAAATGTCATGTACAATGTGATATAAAATTATAAATGTCTGGTAGTGTGAAGATCACGTCAGAATCTGGCTCAGATGTTTGGGTCAATGCAGGCAAGTAGCATAGGCTAGCGGCAGAGCATTTGGCTCTGCAGTCGCCGATCGGGCATTATGTGCTTGTGAGGGGCTAAGTTCATAAATTGCTGAGAAGATGTTTCTTTCTACAATTTCAAGCCGACCGGTTACTGATTGTGTCCTTGTTTGCTGCATGCGTGTTAACCAGCCAGCCAAAAGGCGTTTGCGATTTTGTGTCCGTGTCTGTCACAAATGTCAATGGATGAGTGTCATGTGCGTGCACCTCCCGTGTACGCAGATTTTGCAAGTAGGGACTGCATGACCCTTTTTTGACAAAATACCAGGAAAATCCTTAGGTCCAATTGCTGTTCTTACACTCTCAATGGATAGAGCATCCCTAATTCATCTCCGTAATCTGAGTTCCAAGGGCTGCATGTGGACCTCCCTGGAGTAGTACCTTTCTAAGGAGGCGACTATTTGAGTCCTGGTCAATTACCATCTTCACCGATGTAGAACGCTCAGTGATTATCGGTGTATCTGCCCCAAATACGGTTATAATGACTGGGCGTTCTATTCGGGTGAAGACGGTTGCACGTCTGGAAGCAAAGCTCATTTCGTATGTCGGACAATTTCCGCAACTGTGTGGTGGAATCGATGCACGACATTTTTGCAATTGCCCATATGTCAAATTGAGACAAAGTTGTGTATGACTCCGCGGAACACACCTCTGGTTTTCTTGTGCAGTGTTGTTGTATCTATCAATCCTTTGGTTTCTGGACCCTTGCTTCCCCCTCTCTTAGCAGCGTTAAGTATTTACTCTCTTTCCTCTGCCAAACTGATCCCCGTTCGTGTGATGTGTCGTCGATCTTTTGATTGCAGCTGTTGGCCATGTATGAGCACCAAGTTGCGGTGCAGGGTTTCGTGTGGGGAATCAACAGTTTTGACCAGTGGGGCGTCGAGCTTGGAAAGGTCTGTTATCTTTCTGTTCTGCTTGTTTGTTTGCTTTCGCTTCTGCTTGGTACCAAAATAATCCTACACCAGTTTAGAGAACTTTAGACTTTCAGAGCTTGAGCTGGAGTATACAGATCCACTGCAGAGGGGGGCAGAGGGGAACAGAAGGGGGCAGGGGGGGAGGCGGGGGGGGGGTGGGGGGGCATGCCACATGCTGGTGCAGAGGTTTGTGACAAACCACATAAATTAAATGATGATTTATATATTTATTTCCAAACACACAATTGTGGATTTCATGTGCTATACCTGGTGCACCATGCAAGGTAGACGCAGCACCACATGCAACGTAGAGCTTCAGATCCCTGACCCATGCAAGGTAGACCCCACCTAATGCCGCACTCCACTGCGTAAACACCTCCGATTATCAACCGATGTTGCGTAATGATAGAGTGGTCCCTGGGAGTCTCCTCTCCTTCCTCTCGCAGCCTTCTTCCCATATCAATTCTCATCTATGTCCTGCGCAAGTTGGTCATGACTGTCCTCCAGATTACTTCCTATAGCTAAGTCATCTACTTTATGCTGCTGGGTTCAAGCCACAGGGAAGCACAGAGGTCACGGTGGGCTGGCCCACCATAGCTGGCAAGAAGAGAAGATGAAGTAGGCTTTAGAGCAGCTCTCTCTGACTGCAAAATGCTTCAGAGCTGGCAGCATTTAGAAAATTGACGATACGACTCTTCAACAGCCTGTCAAGCTTCACAACTGTTTCAAAATGGATGGAACAGATAGTTCGACCGATCCAGATGAAAATGAAAATACCGCGAAGTATCCAGGATTTTTTGCCTGTAGATTTGTCAGGCGAATGGGGCAACCGGTAGCACTCTTGGTGACAATGAGGCCTTCACCGTGTTCGCCCGCGTGAATAGAACGCGCGGTCATTGTCGCTGCATCTGGACAGAAAATTCTGCCAAATACGGCTGTAATGACTGGGCGATATATTTGGGTGAATACAGTAGTCAACAGATTAAGAACAACAAGGAAATGGCTTGCAGCTGCTGATGCATGATATGTATGAGGGTGACAAAGCCTTCACCGTGTCCACCCCCCTCGCAGCTACCGTCTTTGCCCGCCCGAATAGAATGCACGGTCATTGTGGCTGCTTCTGGACAGAAAACTGCCCCAAATACGGTTGTAACGACCGGGTGTTATATTTGGGTGAAGACGGTAGTCCACATATCAAGATCAACAAGGAAATGGCATGCAGCTGCTGATTCATGACATGTATGAGGGCGGCAAGGAACTGTTGCCTGTCAGCCACTCGACAGATAAAAAACAAGTAAATGGCATGAACCCGGTGATGCATGATATATATGAGGGTGACACAGAACTGTATCCTGGCTGATACCTGCTTTGGCTGTGTGTATTTCTTGAAACTGCCAATGAGAGCAGCGGTTGTGAAGAGCATGATGAGGATGGGGATTCGGTTGTTGAGTGCTCAGATTGTTCTCTAGGGTAGTGGTTGTGTTGTGGTAGGAAAGGCTTTAACAATAATCCTTTGGTCATCCTGCGCAGGTTCTGGCTCTCAAAGTGCGGAAGGAAGTCAGCTTGTCTCGGAACAAGGGGACGAAGGTAGGGTTCATTCCTGCAGCGAAGACCTTCGCGTTTAGCCATGCCAGTGGAAATTTTGTGCTCTGCATTTTGCATATTTTTCGATGTAACTCCGTTCGTATGTGTATGTGTGGGATAGTGCAGCTGCGCTGCACTTGTATTTCAGTGTAAATCTGTCCTTGTTTTTTTTTTTTTTTTTTGTGTGTGTGTGTATTCGTGGTACTTCGATGTGCTAGCATTTACCTTTTGAATCTTTGATGTGTATTTTTTGCATGTGTTTTGGGTTTTGCTATTCTGGGATATACTATGTGCTCTGTTTGTATGTGTGTGAGAGAGACCGAGAGCACGACAGAACAGAAGGGTGCACAATATATATGACGATATATATGTATTTATATACATATTTATATATATTTATATTTTTATTTATATTTGTTAACACGATTGAAAATGAGAGAGAGAGAGAGAGAGAGAGAGAGAGAGAGAGAGAGAGAGACAAAAAGGTTGTGCCATTTCTAACGAGAGAAAGATTTGTCGCCTGCTTTCTGTGCTGCCAATTCCAGGTTACGGCATTCAATTATTCGACAAACTTTCTGCTGAACCAATATTTGAAGGTGAGTTGTACCTTAGCACCTTTTTGGCTTCGGGGGGAAGCACATTCTCTGGATGAATGTATGCAACCGCTTTTTGACAGAGCATATGCGATAGAGCATATGTGCATTCTATTTTGTTTTTCCTTTTTTTTCTTTTTTGCCAAATTTTGGAGAATTTTGGATCATTTCTCGACTTCTGCCTGGCTTCCTTGTGCAGGGGCCATGTTAATCAATCTTCTCTGTATCGTTCCGATTTTAAATGAACGTCTAGGAGGAAGCATACGTGCATCTTAATCTGGGGAAGTGTCGACATTTGCGAGAGTGTCGTTCTTGTCCCTCCTCTTTGACTGAGTGAAATACATCTGGTTGCATGTAGCCCACCACGGCCACAGTCGTTAGATAAACCTGGGCCCTTTCGACCATGCTCCACGCGAGTCCCAACTGTGAGCGCGGACCAATGACATGCTCAAGCTAGGTCTGTCAGCATGGGGGTCTAACGTGCCCAGATCTGGGCCTGTCTCTTATACACATCTAGATGTGTATAAGAGACAGCTGGACTGCAGTACGATGAAGGAGAGTCATTTGCAAGGAGCAAACACTAGAATTGAATAAATGCAAGTCAACAGCAGCAAGGCCATGATTCGAGGCAATCTGGCGCACAGGCCTGTGTATCCTGACCTTCTTTTTTTTTTTCTTTTTTTTTTTTTGTTTGTTTGTTGGGACCATCATTTCACGATTTATGGGTATCATCCTGGCGCAGGGGCCATGCTAATCCCCTTCTCTGTGTCGTTCCAAATTTAACGGATGTCCCCCCGAAGGACAGCGTGTCCTGAAGTTAATGATGAAGTTGGATTCTGAATCAACTTCAGTGGCATCTATGTTTTATAAATTGATAACCTTTATCATTCGGTCTGATGAGAACTGGAGAAACAAACACAATCTAGGTAGTGAGGCAACAGGGGACTTCTTTATTCTCTCCTCTTTCTCCTTTTTCTCTTCTTTCTTTCTTTTTTCCTCTAAAAGGGGATGGCTCTGAGATATCATAGATTGATCTGACCGGCCCCGGCCCTAGGTAATTCAGCATTGCAGAATTCTACTCATCTGCTTCCATCTGGGTTTTTGAATAATTCAGGTCTGCATTCCAACAGTGTAGGGGTGTACAAAGTGCGCAACAGTGGAGTTCTGTTTGCAGTGGACATGTCACTTGGGGATGAATACTGTCTGAACGACGCTGACAAGGCTGACGGCTCTGACACCGTAATCGCAATATTCCTGCTGTCTCCATTGTAAGGCTGGATGCATCTGATCATTTTTCGTTTGTCTTTTCTCGATGAATGAAGAAGCAAACTTTTGTATCGTAGCCGATGTGCATGTAAAGTATATCATTGAAGTATATGCAATCAGTGGAAAATTGAAGATATGTATGCTATCATTGGAAAATTGAAGATGTGCATGCAATCATTGGAAAATTGAAGATATGTTTTTTTTTTTTTTTGTTTTGTTTTTTTTGTTTTGTTTCTCTCAATCGTTGTAAATCTTACCAATGGTGGCCGGTTATTTTGCAGGAGAAGGAAGAAGTGATGAAGACGTTCGACTGAAAGCAGTGAGTGCTTTGTGAACACCGAGGCAATGAACAGGTGGGGTTCTGCACTGTCGGCGAGTGGATTGCGGTGTGGATTCTGTTGGGGGAAATTGTGGGTGGAGCTTTCTTTCTCTCGTGCAGTTGGTTGCCTGCAGGTTGAAGGTGGTTAAGCTCAGGTGAAGTGTGTGCAAAAGCCAATGTGGTGTTGGTAGAGTACTAGGGTGCGCGAGATAGCAAGTTGAGAACACTTTATGCGGAGTATAGATAGTACCACCCATGTGCGGCATCTAGATTTGCTCTTTTTTTTTGTGTGTGTGTGTGTTTTGAAACGTTGAGCATCAAATGTATTGTTAGGTACTCAGTGGCTCATGTTGAGCATGGGGATTTTGTACGTTGGCTTGGATGACCATAGAGGCCTGCAGGTTTTGTTGTCCCATTGGTCCTGTGTTTGCGGCCTGTTTGTTCTCTAAGCTTTATTCTTTGAAGACCGTTGGTACCCCCTTTGGGGGTCGTGTGGAGTGGAAGCTCTGGATCCGTCCCTCAATTCTTTTTATTGTCGTCTCTCTCTCTCTCTCTCTCTCTCTCTCTCTCCCCCCCTCTCTCTATTGCTCTCTCTCTCTCTCTCTCTCTCTCTCTCTCTCTCTCTCTCTCTCTCTCTCTCTCTCTCTCTCTCTCTC